AGCAGAAGAAACTCCTGTAAAAAACATTAAAAATCGTTCTGATCCCAAACTTTTGAGCGGCAGTGTACGTGTGTGTGTATACAAAAATGACTAAAACTTGAACTAAAATGAAAATGGAACATAAAAATAAAAACTAAATAAATTCTATAATAGTATCTCAGTGAAATGAATAACATGCATTGTATAAATGACATTAATACAACCAACCGACTCCACATTTCTGTCCACATTTATGGACTAAGACGGTGTGTTTCTGTGTTTTAGGAGACTTTACTGCGAGTAAACACATGCTGGGGTGCTGGAGTATTACCGTGGTACAGTAAAATAATTATTGCAAATGAAGTAATATCAACAAGTGAAATTTCATCTATCAGTTCACGATAAACTGCATTCGAATACCACATGCTGCCTTCTATCCACTACTGAAATCCCTTAATTGCTTTGAAGTCACCTGATAGCAAGCGCCTAAACAACTATGAGCGAGACTTCCGGTTCATTACAGAAATAACCAGAAGAATAGCAACGTGCGGTAAACCACTGTGTTCATAATTAAGATAATGCACTAAAACAATATGGTAAGATACAACACCAATTTGCAGTATCAAGCAGCAAAACAAGCTTTTGTACAGCTAAAAATAACTGGAAGCGAATGAGACCCATAACATTTACAAATGAAGAATATTCAAATTTACACATTTTTACATGAAGAATAAAAAGGTGGATAATGGCCTAAGCAATGTCTTAAACACCTAGCTATACCAAAGCAAACACCTACAACCAGTTGTATTTTAGTATCATTTAGATATTGTAATATTTCCTATTAATAATTTGAATTTTTTCGCTATACCAAAGCAAACACCTACAACCAGTTGTATTTTAGTATCATTTAGATGTTATATTTCCTATTAATAATTTGAATTTGTTTCCCTATTTTTTGTTTGTTTTATTTTTTTAAGTAATTTTGTTGTGTGCATTTGTCATTTTTAGTAGGTTTGTTTTTTTATGTAAATACAATTTTATAGATTTTTTATTTCAGTTTCAGATATTTTAGTACATCAAGGTAAACTAAATGAAAATGAAACGTGTTTCTTTGGCAACTAGCTGGAAAAAGTATGATACTACGGCACAGAATGACTCATGGCGCTTTTGCAAGAAATTATTATAGTACTATTATATCCAAAACCTATGATGTCATAGTACGTTTTAATAATATTAATATATATTAAATTAACTCATTGTTATAAAATTAACGTTACACGGATTTGATTTAAATATGCTGTGATGGATGCGGTTTCCCGCGAAATCCGTCCCGACAGCTCTAAACAATTATTTTATGCTTAGGATATCAATTTAGGGTACGGCAAAACGCGGTTTGGAAGATGGTTTTATGATATACTCGCTAATTTAAAAATTGTCCATTTCGAGGAAAAAAATTACATAGTGTGACTTTAAAGATGCGTTTTGGCGCGTCTTTTCATCCGGGTCTTCTGACCGACGAATGATTGGCGGAGACGCAGTCACGCAGCGCGCGGAAGCGGGAAACGCAAACACACGGACGCATGTCTCGACGCGACGCGACCGAGGGCGGCTTTAAACCTGTTTTCGCGATCCTGCGCTCGTTATATCCGCGCGTTCAGACTCTGGAGGAGTTCGCAGACGGACTCGTGTTCTCGGACGGACGGAAACCGGCTCTTCTTGAGGAAAAAGACGGCGCGCGGTTTCAAAAACTCGCGGGAGGCCTGATCATATGCGCTCGTGAGCCACCGCAGCAGCTGCGCGAGCCCGCACAGGTACCTCACACACCTGTTTGAATAAAATTATTTCTACATCACTCATATTCTACATCACTCTATATCAGTCCTCCTGACCGAAACCGCTTTGTCATTGTTTACAAATAGCGTATACATCTGCCGTAGCTGACCGTCGTTAATTCGCAAGTGTTACTTCATATTTCATATTTCATAACTTACTCAGAAACATAAAACATACACACCTGCCAAAAAGAACTGTAGTATTTGACATGGACTTAATGTAATGTTATGGTACCATGGTATTCTTTTACGTACCTCGGAGTACCATGGTATTACTGTACATTTTCTAGGACATATATCATAATTATGTAACATTTCTGTTAAGATGGGCCTAATTGTTGGTCAAAAACACATCAGAAAAGTTTGTATGTTCATTCATCAGATCATAAATTTCTTGCACATTTCCTGTTGAATGTCCCTAACAATTTTTGGTTTTGGTCCCTGACATTATTTTATGGTTGTTAAAATAAAACTAAAAAGAAAGCTCTTAGAAAATTATTATTTAGGCTAATTCCCAAAATAACCAGTTATACTATATATATTTATTTTATTTATTTATTTATCGTTTAGCAGACGCTTTTATCCAAAGCGACTTACAAATGAGGACAACAGAAGCAAACAATTGTAGTATTAAAACAAAACTAAGATCCAAAACTAAAAGCTAAAACTTTATAAATACTACCTATAAACATTTTAAAAATAAAGAGATTAAATAAAAATGACAAATGCATACAACAAAATTTCAAAACTTAACATTTAAATGAAAAACAAAAAATAAAGCTAAAAACAATTCAAAATATTAAAGAACAAAAGGTATGAGTATAATAATGATTCTAACATAACACTAAGCCAAACACCAAAAAAACAACTACATATTTGTGTATGTACAACCTAGGCCGTTGCTAGGGTACCCGGGGTGGTTGCTAGGGTAATCGGGGTGGTTGCTAGGCCGTTGCTATGCGGTTGCTAGGCTACCCGGGGTGGTTGCTTAGGTGTTGCTATGCTGTGGTTGCTAGGGTACACGGGGTGGTTTTATATATATATATATATATATATACACACACCAAATCTCAAGGTCTTCATTTTTTATATTGTCGCAAAATGTAGGTATATTATTGTCTGCTAAATGTGACTATAGAGTATGAAGATATTACAAACATAAACATCATTATTTTCTTTAAAGCTGCATTGTTTCAATGTGTAATATGAAAAGCGCTGTACAAAAAAAAAGGCAGTTACTAATGTTATGGAAGCTTGTTTTCGCGACAGAATAAAAATTTTAATTGCGCATTTTTATCTCACAATTGTAACTTTTTCCCTTAAGTTCTATATATAAACGTACAATTCAGAGGGAAAAAAAGTCAGAATTGTGAGATATAGCCTAAAATTTATATTAAAAAAAGTCAGAATTGTGAGTTACGAAGTCGCTTTTACATTTATTATTTTTTACTGTGGTGAAAAAAAAAAAAAAAACAGAATTCCACCTGGTCCGGATTCTTCCTGGACCACGGCGCGACTCAAACATCGTACGGCGTGACGCGCAAGACTCCCGTCGGCGTCGCGCGGAAGAAAGTCGCGAGAGATGATAAGAAAATAGTTTCGAAAAAAAAGAGAGCGAGAGAGGAGGAAATGGACGACAAACGGGAAGATCGTCCGGTAGTAAAGAAGCGACGGCTTACGATGGACGAAACTGACGGTTCGTTAAATGCGCGAAACCCTGAAAGTCACGGATCGCGGAGCTGGAAACCGGCGGATCAGCCTCCTCCGCGACCGTCGCGCTGTTCCATCCGCGTTTTGAGTATGCTTTACGGTGGGCGGGGCTTGAAGGGCTTCCTGCTAAACAGGAAGCTGAAAGCAGGTGTGGGCGGGGCTAGACGGCTGCAGGGGGCGGATCTCGTGCGCATCATTTTCCTCCAATCGGAGTCCAACGTGTTTGACGGACAGGCCAAGTTTAGGAAGCTTCCCAAGCGTTTCTTCGCAATGGTTCCCTTGTTTGCTCGGCTCTTGCGGCAGCACAGGAAGTGCCCGTATGCTCTCTTCCTGCGCAGGAAGTGCTCGGTGAATCCAGAGACGGAGGATATGGAGTCGCTGCTGAAGTCGCACTTGTCGCCTTACAGGGTGTATCTGTTCGTGAGGGAGTGTTTGCGATACGTTGTTCCCGAGGAACTCTGGGGATCCCAGGAAAACCAGCTCCACTTCCTGTCCAACGTGAAGAACTTCCTGCGTCTTGGGAAGTTTGAGCGTCTTCCATTGGTACAGCTGGTGTGGAAGATGAAGGTCAAGGCCTGCCATTGGCTGGGACTCAAGAAACGTGTGTCTTTAATGCCTTTATTCTCCGTTTCGTAACTTTGGTTGTTTAAAGCCAAGCAGATTTGATTTTTATTTAATTATTATTATTTTTATTTTTTTATATATAATTCAGGATTAATATCGTTAATTAAAACTAAAACCATAAAAATGTCATTCTTAAATGAAATTAACTGAAATAATATAAAATATAATTTTTTTTATTTCAGCTAGTTGCCAAGGCGACATTTCTCATTTTCATTTACTGTATGTTTAAGTACAAAAATAACAAAAACTAAATAAATTAAAAATAAAAATCTAATAACTATAAAAAATATATATAAAAAAAATAGTAATGGCAAACAAAAAAAAAAGCTAACAAAATGACTAAATCCTGAACTAAAATTAAAATGAAAGCAGAAAATATAAAAACATCTAATTCAAAATATTAACAAAAATTATAATAGTATATCAATGATACTAAAATAACATCAGATGGTCAGGTCTCAAATACAAGGTTAGTATAGTTAACTAAAACTAACATAAAAATACATTACTTAAAATAAATCATAACTGACAAACACAAAAAGAAAAAAAAACGATATAAAAAAAAATCATTAAACTAGTTTTATTTGAGCTATTTTCTAAGTCAGCATTTTTCATTTTTGTTTAGTTGTCGTCGAAGTTCTAAAATAGCTAAAACTGACATAAAAATGAATAAAAATAAAAAAAACAATAAAACTTTAACCTGAAATTAAAATGAATTAATATTAAAAATATTAATAAAACTATAATAATATACAATTGATACTAATATAACACTTTACTTGAAATAAAATAAATGTTAACTGAATTAAAAATGTAAAAAAAATAATTTAAGGAACTTCTTTTATTTCAGCTACTTGCCAAGGAAACATTTTTCATTTTTAATTGAAGTTGAAGAGCTAAAATAACATAAAGTAATGTGAATAAAAAATATATAGACATAAAATATAATAAAAATATATAAAATAAACAATAGTAATAATAACAAAGACAAAAATACACAGGAATATGTACTAAAACTTTAACTAAAATTAAAATAAAACACAAAATATAAATAAAAAAATATAAATATTCATAAAACTATAGTAATATATCAGTGATACTAAAATAACATTGATATTATATCCATCAGATGGTCTCACAAATACAAGGTTACTGTAGTAAACTAAAATAAAACTGAAATAATTTTTTACTAATCAGCTAATTTTAATTTTCATATAATTGAAGAACTTAACTAAAACAGAATTAAAAATTAATCTAATATCTAAAAAAAAAAAAAAAAAACACGTTACTGAACTTTACAATGAAAATGGAACATATAAAAAAGAGAAATCGGACTTCTAATAAAAACTGTAATAGTGTATCACTGAAAGTAAAATAATCTAATGATCGTGACTAGTTGTCTTGATTGAACTAGTCTCTCTCCTGGCTGGTGCCGCAGGTCAGTGCGCGAGTGAGCACCGCTACAGAGAGTGGATCTGCGGGCAGTTTCTGGGCTGGATGTTGAGCGGTTACGTGATGGGTTTGGTCAAAGCGCTGTTCTACGTCACCGAGAGCATGGGACAGAAACACACGCTGCGCTTCTACAGAGGGGAAGTGTGGATCAGACTACAGGAAATGGCCTTCAGGTGCGTCATGTGACTCGCCTCACCTGTCGAGAACCTGAGCAAAATTACATTTGAGTAGAAATTATTATAATCCTGTTTTTAGCATTATTACGATTGGTTGCATTGTGACATTGCTTGCATAACAATTAAGCACGTTTTTATTTTGTAAATAATATTTATTTTTAAATGTATCACTTATTCTATGCATTTATTACCATGTTTAAATATGTTAAAAATAAACAAATGTAATTTTTTTATTTACATTTTAATTACTACTTTTATTTATCAAGGATGCATTAAATTGATCAAAAGTGACATTTATAATGTTACAAAAGTAACATTTCTACTTGCTTTGATTAGTGAATCCTAAAAAAATACAATGCATCACAGTTTCCACAAAAATATTGTGCAGCACGACTGTTTTCAACATTGATAATAATCAGAAATGTTTCTTGAGCAGCAAATCAGTATATTAGAATGATTTCTGAAGATCATGTGACACTGAAGACTGGAGTAATGATGCTGAAAATACAGCTTTGATCACAGAAATAAATTTAAACAGTTTAACACATTCACATAGAGTTTTAATAATATTTAAAAAATTTTACTGTTTTTGATCAAATAATCAAAGCTTGCTTGTTTCTTATTTTATCTTCTGTTCATTTTAAAATAACTAAAAACTATGTAATTCTGGCCACTGATCTGGTTTATTTGCAGAGCTCACCTGTCTAAGGGCCAGTGGAGGGCACTGTCTCCGTCTCAGGCCCTAAAGTTCCCCAAGACCACAGTAACGTCCCGAATCCGGTTCATCCCGAAGGTGAACAGCATGAGACCCATCACTCGCCTCGCGGGACCCAGAGAGTCGCTGCAGGTGCGTCTGTCAGCCGCCAAATAAACACATCAGTCGAGTAGATTACACAGGACTGAGTGAAGTGAAGCAGGAAGACACTGTGACGCTCTGTATTGTGTGTGTGTCTGTGTGTGTGTGTGTGTGTGTGTCTGTCTGTCTGTCTGTCTGTGTGTGTCTCTGTGTGTGTGTGTCTCTGTGTGTGTGTGTCTGTCTGTCTGTCTGTGTGCGTCTGTGTGTGTGCGTCTGTGTGTGTGTGTCTGTCTGTGTGTGTCTGTGTGTCTGTCTGTCTGTGTGTGTCTGTGTGTACGCAGATTTTCCAGAGCGGCGTGCGGCTCCTGCAGAACGTGCTAAGCGTGTGTGTGCGAGAGGCCCCGGGGCCCATGGGCTCCACCGTCTGGGGCTGGCAGGACATTCACCGCGTTCTCAAAGAGTTCGGCCCGCAGCAGAAGAGCTCGCCGAGACCGCTGTATTTCGTCAAGGTGCGTCTGATGACGTGAATGCTGTGAAAATAAACCGGCATTATTAATCCTTTTGATCTTTTTCTTTTTTTAAATCACAAAAATCTAAAATTATATTTATATAATAATATATCTCATTATGAAATCATTTTTTTCCCTCAAATACATGTTGGACACAATTATTGGCACCCCTAGAAATTCTTATGAGTAAAATATCTCTGAAGTATATTCCCATTCATATTCACAATTTTGAGCATACCAGGGTGATTATGAACATGAAATTATCCAGCCATGGCTTCCTGTTTCACAGGAATATAAATAGGAGGGAAAACAAAGCCCAAATTCCCTTAATCATCCATCACAATGAGAAAAACCAAAGAATATATTTCTGATGTGCAGCAAAAGATAATTGAGCTTCACAAATTAGAAAGTGACTTTAAGAAAAGAGCTAGAGCAGTGAAAATTCCCATTTCCACCATCAGGGCAATAATTAAGATTTTCCAATCAACAGAAAACACGTGTATAATGAAATATACTGCAGGATCTTTAATGTTATTAAAGGCCTATATTTCTGCCGGAGGTCCTGGACATCTTGTTTAGACGCATGGCATCTTTGATTCTATCAAACACCAACAGATAAAAAATCAAAACCTGACTGAATCTTATATAATGGGCCATGTTTGGATCTTCCAACAGGACAACAATCAAAAAACAAACCTCAAAACCAACACAAAAATGGGTCACTGAGCACAAAACCAAGCTTCTGCCCTGGCCATTCCAGTTCCCTGAGCTGAAGGTTAGATTTCTGTGAATTATTTAAATAAAAGATCAAAACGATTAACAATGCAGATTTATTTTCACAGCCTTCTTTGATCATATTTACCAAGGGTGCCAATATTTCTGACCACGTGTGTATATAAATAACTTAAATTATAAATATGTGTATGTAATAGTGCTGTCAAACGATTAATCGCGATTAATCACATCCAAAATAATTTTTGTTTACATAATATATGTGTGCTGTGTATATTTATTATAAATACACACACATGCATGTATATATTTCAGAAAAATATGTAATGTTTAAATATTAAATATATTTGTTTATAATATAAATTATGTGAATATAAATAGACATGTAAATATTTTCAAAATGTATACTGTATGTGTGTGTATTTATATATACATAATAAATATACACAGTACACACACATATGTTATGCAAAAACTTTTATTTTGTATGCGATTAATCGCACTAGTATGTAAACCTCTTCAGATTTATTTGCATAACACAATTAGTAATAAATATTGTCGTAAACCAGCAGTTATTGTGAATATACCGTTGTTGAGAATAGTTCTCACTGAACTCATTTCTGTAGTGTATCTGGCAGCAGCTGCGTTTCCCATGATTCCCGGCGGTGTTGTTGTGTGTGTCAGGTGGATGTGAGCGGAGCGTACGACAGTCTCCCTCATCAGAAGCTGGTGGAGGTGTTGGGTGAAGTGCTGCGTGCATTCTCCGAGCGGAGCTTCTTCGTGCGACAGTACGCTCGCGTCTGGAACAACCCTCACCTGGGCCTGAGGAAACACTTCTGCACTAGAGTACGTGAGTGAGCGCGAATCAGTGAATCAGACACACTGCAGCAAGTGTGTGACGTGTGTGTCTGTG